TTAGCCTTCTTGGCAACAAGAGCACACTGTTGACTCATATCCAGCTTCTCGTCCACTGTGACCCCTAGGTCCTTTTCAGCAGAACTGCTACCTAGCCATTCGGTCCCTAGTCTGTAGCACTTAGGAAATGCTGGCTCTTGTCCCTTCCACTCAAACCTGCCTGTAAAAAAAGCGTTAGAAGTTTTGTTGAAGCAGAGAAAACACTTGGTTCCCACTCTGCTCAAACACTTGCCACCCACCTGGGACTGAGACCAAGCAGAAGAGATTCCAAAAAACTGAGCAATAAACATGAGACTGAAAATAGTGTTTTTGAATAGACCACCCTGGGCTCTAGCTTAGCCTTCCACAACTCTGAAAAGGCAGTGGCAGCTGATCCCCAGAACAAAGTGGTGTTCCTTTTGTCTCACAGAATCTAATTCCAAGGCCTACAAAGAGTGCAGTCCCACAGAGACTACAACTCTCAGCAAGCAGTGGGGTATCTGGATCCTGGCAGCTCTGTCTCAGACCAAGGCATGCTGGACTGCTAGTCTCTACAGGCCAAGTATCCATATTAAAGATAAGGGCTGCTACAATCAACTTCACTTCATGCAAGTCAGCAGGCAGGGATCACAGCGCTGATAGTTGCCAGCATGCTGCCCAAGCTGGGCAATCTTTGGATGCCCTGGCACAATGGCATCCATGCTAAGATCAGGAGAAAATTCAGATACAATGCCTGTGCCTCTTCAGCCATAGCTGTAATGAATGGCATGTCCACAATAGAAATGTAAATTGACTTAACATAGGTTGATTTACAACCACAGCAGTAATTATTGTGGTGGTTCATGTCCACGCTACCCTCCCTCTGTTGGTGGTGCACGTCCTCACCAGGAGCACTTCCCTCTGACCTAACGGGGCAGTGTGGGGGGCTGAGAACCTGGGCTCTCAGCTGCCCACTGGGCTCCCAGCTCCCTGCCAGTTGTCCCCTCCCCCCACTCTCAGCTCCCTGCTCCCCCCTGGGAGTCCGGCTGCCCCCCACCCACTCTGGATTCCCTGCTCCCAGCTGTCTGGACTCTTGCTCTGCGCTCCCCGCTGGGAGCCTGGCTGCCAGATGCCTGGGCTCTTGGCTCCACACTCCCCGCCTGGAGACCAAGCGCCTGCCATCTTCCCAGTGAGGAGCCTCAGTACAGTGGGGACCAGGGAGCTGAGACCCAAAGGTAGCCCGGCTCTGAGCAGGGAGCCTGAGCAGCAGCTCAACTGGGAGTGTGGAGCCCAGAGGCTGGGAGAGGTCCGGGCTATAGTTGGAGCCCAGATAAGGCTTCTTCACACTAAAGGCAGGTGATAGTGAGCCCAGCTTTCTTGTCAATTTCACGGCTCCAGCATGACACAAAAATGACAGCCAACAGCCAATGTAAGTAACTCGCAGTGTCTATACGGACACTGTTTCCCTAACGACACCAACAAAAGCCCTACGCCTCTCGTGGAGGTGGCATTATTATGTCAGTGTACTATAGGGCACTTACATCAGTAGGAGCAAGGCTGTAGTGTGGACACTGACATAATTAGATCCATGTAAGCTGCCTTACATCAACCTAACTCTGTTGGGTAGATCAGGGCCAAGACTGCCCCAGGAGACTTGAGGTCACCATTCTCCAAAGACAATTTATTAACAATTCTGGCCTCAGGTCACTGATGAATTCATATTCTTACCGCATCTGTTACTCACCATCTCAAAGTCTGAGCCAACAAGGCCGTTGAGATATTCCTTGTGCCGACTATACAACTAAAGAAAAACAATGGATTAGAAGAAGTCCATCATGAAGCAATCATTTCAACTTCCAAACACGTTACAGAGAACAGCCCCAAGTAGGAGATGTATGAGGAACACAGCTCGAGACATCCAGGACGCAGATAAAGAAAACCAGTGCCATGCTGCAGAAGTGTCTGTAAGGGTGACAGAGTTCCTCAGCTGGGTGCATCCCATGTGGGAACAAGTGACAGGGTGAAGTAGGGTGACCAGACGTCCCGATTTTATTGGGACTGTCCCGATATTTGCTTGTTTGTCCTGCGTCCTGACCTATGTTAGGTCGGGACACTGGACAAACAAGTAAATGCTCCGGAGCCCGGAAGTGCTCGCGCCCCACCCCCCCTCCGCCCCGACTCCGCCTTCGCCCATTGGCTCCCTCCCCAAATCCCCGCCTCTTCCCCAGGCTCACCATTCCTCTTTCCTCCACAAGCGCTGGAGGGAGGCCCCGGAGACGCAGGGGGAGCACGGGGCCGGGGTGAGTGAGAGTCCGGCCTGGCCCCGAGTGCAGGCAGGACTCGGTCTGGCGGTAGGGAGAGTAGAGGGCGGCCTGCGGTGCCAGGCGGCGGCTGTTCTCCCCCCCGGGCAGCGGGACTTGGGAGCAGCTGCTGCTGCAGCTCCCACTGCCGCGGGGGGAAGAAGCGGCCACGGCGCTTGGTGGCTGCGGCTCTGGTGCCCCCGAACCTGGGCCTGCTGCAGGGACCCAGCAACGCGCACGCTGCGCCCAGCCCCTGGCCAGTCGCGTCTGGGCTGGCTGGCTGCCCAGCTGGTGCAATCCCG